GAGGTCTTCTGGCAGGAGCTCAAGACCCTGTGCCCAAGGAAAGCCTTTCCCTCTGGCAGTTAAGAGGGGCTGGCACATGCAGGGGCTGGCCTTGGGGAGCTGTCTTCCCATGGAATTCTCCCTGTGGGGGACCTGCTCCACCCAATGCCAGTCAGATCAAACCCACCTGCCTGCCGGAACCACTCCATTTCCCATTAGTTCTGGAGTAAAACTGACACCCTGATTTCTTGGCGCCTCCTCAGATTGTATCTGGCTGACATCTCTCTTCCGTCCTCGGCAAAAAACCCTGCTCTGCCCTTTGGCCAGTCTCTCTGCCTTAATAAGTCTCTGCATTTTCCTCTCAGCTGCTGAGGATGGCCCAGCGGCAGGGACCCTGGTTGTACTCAGTATATCAAACACAGCTGGATGGGCCAGCAAAAACGCAGGCTCGTCTTTGGATCAGGACAGAAAATGAAGTATCAGCATTTGTATATATCATGGGAACCAGCCTCTCAAAAAGATGGATCCAGAAGGATACAGGAGAGAGTAACTTTACTCTTTCTCCCACTGCCCTTCCTGTACCTTCTCCATTTTTCTTTTTTTTTTTTTTTGCTTCTCAGGCTGAAAGTTTTGTTTTCATGGGTCTTTAAGAAGTGTAGTTCAGTCTGCTAATCATACAGCTCTAAACATTATTCGTTTTCAAAAGTTCGCCCCTCCCTCAGCAGGGCTTCTTGGGCTGGGAATCCTGCAATGAGAAAGGGCCTTGTGCGCTGCTTCTTTCTCACAGGACAGTCTAATGTCACTGCACTGTTATATTATGGAAGATGTAGAATGCTGATTTTTTTTTTTCCTCTCTCTTACGGGGCATGCTTGATATGGGCAGAGCCTGGATGCACTTGACCTTCGCCTCTGCTGGATTCCATCGCCCTTTCAGAGTGGGACCATTTTTAAGGAGATGCACAGTGGCTGCCTTCATTAGGGTTCACATCTAGACCTAGGAAACATCCCCATTCTCATCAGTGATGGGTAGCTCACTCCCAGCACCCCCCTTTCTCCCTTTGCTCTGCCCCCAGGTAGGCGGGCAGCTCCAGGCTAATTTTTCTCATTCCTCTTTTCTTGGTGAACATCAAATGCAGTCACTGTCAAGCCACCAAGAGTTTCTTCGAAGCCCTCTTCACCAGATGAGGGTGTACACCTTCTCCCCTCCCCTTGGTTCCCCTCCCACAGTGACCTGCCCTTAAGGCAGCCTTTCCTGCAAGCCTCTTCGATCGCCCAGTGAATTCCTTGCCTTCATTAAGCTAGAAATGGGTGAAGGGCTCAGATTGAAAGAGCTGCATAGATGGTGGTAGCAGATGCCATTGGTGCCTTATGCAAGCCCTGTAGCCCTTGCCACTGTGTACTCAGGATGGCTTCCTACTCAACCCTCTTCACCTGAAGGCTTTCTCTGGTACCACGTGGGCAAGTCAGAAGTGCTGGAGATTTAGTACCCCTAGTAGCAGTCCTCAGCCAATGAGGGATGGGAGCTGGAAGATAAATACCCCAGCTCCCTCTCCCGCAAGGTGTGTTCTGCACCATCTCTCACAGTTCCTGCAGGACTGAGCCCACTGCCCACAGTGGAACTTGCCCATCTATGCACCATGCACTGGCTCATTCCCTTCCTTCTGTGTCACTTCCCCACCAGTGCTGCTTGCGGTGGCCTCCCAGATAAGCCAGACTCCAAGAGACACTCACATCTTTGCTCAGGCTCAGCTTCTGGAGAACCCAGTCTTTTTTTTTTTTTTTAATAAATTTATTTATTTTTGGCTACATTGGGTCTTCGTTCCTGTGCACGGGCTTTCTCTAGTTGAGGCGAGCGGGGGCTACTCTTCTTACGGTGCGCGGGCTTCTCATTGCAGTGGCTTCTCTTGTTGTGGAGCATGGGCTTTAGGCGCACGGGCTTCAGTAGTTGTGGCACGTGGGCTCTAGAGCGCAGGCTCTGTAGTTGTGGCGCACGGGCTTAGTTGCTCCGCGGCATGTGGGATCTTCCCGGACCAGGGTTCAGACCCGTGTCCCTTGCATTGGCAAGTGGATTCTTAACCACTGTGCCACCAGGGAAGTCCCGAGAACCCAGCCTTAAACAACGGCCACGTCTGTCCCTTTAGAAAGTAGGAATGCTTAGTCCCTGTTGGCTTATTCTTAGCTTAGGGGACTTTGAAATTCCAGGATGACAGGAGAAGTTGCATTTAATAGTTTGTTGCACACAGTTTACAAAATGCATTCCCATAAATAAGGGTTTCTCAGCCTTAGCACTGTTGACATTTTGGACCAGATAATCGTGGTCCAAATTCTTTATTTGGGAGAAGGCTATCTTGTGCATTGTAGGATGTTTTAACAGTCTCCCTGACATGGACTCACCAGTGGCATACCTCCCCCGCCCCCCCGGGACAACCATGTCTCTAGACATTGCCAACTGTCTCCAAGGGGCAAAACCACCTCTAGCTGAGAATCACAGACATAAGCCGTCTGATGTCGTTTGGTGTAAATGGCAATCCAAAAAGAGAATGGTGGTGATGGTGGTGGTGACAGTGATAGTGATGATGATGGTGGTGGTGGTGATGATGCTCATAGTAACATTACAACATGACATAACATTCAAATGACCTGACCAGACTTGTTCAGGTGCTACCAGTGAACCTAGAGTCTCATCCCAGATCTTCTGCCTGCCTTACCTCACTCTGAAAGCCCATGACATAGACTGGAAATATTAAGCCCTATTCGCAGACAAGGAACTTCAGAGAAAACACATGCCCTCCATGAAAGTGTCGAACCAAGAATGAAACCAGAGCTTTCTGATTTCCAAGGCTGTGTGCTCCTTCCTGTTTTAGAAAGAACAGAGAGTTGTGCTAGGGTTTTCACATGAAAGCTGTTTGCACCCTTGAAGATGCTTCTACTGCACTGAGATCATTGAAATGAATGATAGAATAAAGCCAAGTTGTGCACTGTCTGCAACCCACTGTTACCAGCAGATCGGCTGTGAAGTTGGCTTATGGAATATATCTGCCATCTACCACGTTTCGCACTAGCCTAATCCAGCACTTTCATGAGCTATTGATGTTTTCATGGTACTGGAGTTAAGAGGCTCTTCCATAGTTCAAAAGCTGACATCAACCCTACTATTTCTGTTGTCGAATAGGGTCTCCAGCAGACTCTTTCATGGCATAGCATTTATTGAGCACCTACTGTGTGCAAGAGAAGGCGGCGACTCCAGAATGTCAATGTAATAGGGCTTTCGCGGCTGTCGCCTGGTTGTAAGCTGGCGGGGAGGAGGTGGAGTCTCGGAGCTTGTCTGGAAGCCCTGTGTGCAAAGCAAGTGCACAACTTTTGTTAGGAGAGGATGTTTGGGGGGCGCCGGGGAAGCTGGTGGAGGTTAGGGGGCAGTTAGAATCTCCCTAAGCCACCTGTTGGGACAACTCGACATGAGGAATTATGGTAGATAAAATATGTCCCCTGCCCTCTGGAAAGAGACCTTCAGCAGTGTGCCTTGTGTTTCTGTTGCTTTGTTCTTACTACTTGAAGCACCAACAACATGGGTGGTTTCCACATCTCCTCCCTGCTCCTGGAGTGGCAGCAAACACCGCCCTTGGGCAGTGGATGAAGCGGGGGCGTGGGGAGGTGGGGACGCCAGTGAATTGCTCAGTCAGGATGCTCCTGTTTAAAATCCTTTACTGTCTCCCATCCCCAGCAAGATGACATCCAAGTGACCTAAACTTGTCTCTCCAAACCCTTCTGACTCCTGCTTCCATGTCTATACCCAGAGCCAGGCACACTGACCACCAGGCAAGTTCCTTCAGGAGTTGTGACCCCTCTTCCTTCTTCCCTCTGCCTCAGGCACTGCCCTCTCCCCCCCACCTCCTGTTTATCTGCCTAGTGGTTCCCTTCTCTTTCTTGAGGATCACTTCCTCCAGGGAGGCCTCTCTGAAAACCCCCATCTGAGTTAGACACACTTCTCTGCACCTACCTTGACTGTAACTCCTACCACAATCCCTGGCTTTCTCATCTAAACAGACCTCTGCTCTGTGACTCCTCGTGTCCTCTGAGCACAGCACGGTGCCTGGCACATAGTAGGTGCTTGGAAATATTAGGGAGGGGATACAAGTAAAGGAGAAAGACATAAGAGAAAAAGGGAAGAAAGAGAGAAGCGGAGAAGGAGAAAGGAAGGAAAGAGGCGTAAGTTAATATCTGTCCGTGATTGATGCAGCCGAAGTTGAACTGTCTGGCGTTCCTACAATCACAGATCAATTTTATCCAGCACACCTAACATAGCACAGGTTTCTTTGCCGTACTGAAGTGACTTCTGGATTATTAACTGTCCATCGCTGTCCAAATATTTAGTGTCAAGGTACTCTGTTGTGTTTGGGTCTTTAAAAATGTGTCATCCTGTGATGCTATGAATAGTGGTGGCAGGTTGGAGCATATTTCATGAATAAGTGCTCCATCCCATTCTCTGTTCCGTCCCCTAAACATAATAGATTAGCTGGTTGATTTTGAGGAATTTGCCAACATAAGTGGAAGGATCATTTCACCTTGTATAAGAATGCAACTTATCATTAGCAAGCAGTCAGCTTGCTCTGCGTCACAGAAAAATGGAAGACCCATGTCACACCCCCAGCAGGTGGCTCAATGCCCAGCACTTAGTTTCACCCAGGAAAAAAAGTTGTTAATGACAGGGGTATTGAAGGCAATTCTACAGACAATGCAGCACTTGACTCTGCAGTGAGCTCCATGCTGGGAAGGTCGTTTCATGAATGAGTCTTCAAAGGCCCAATCCATCCACAGATCTGTGTGCGATGCTTTTAGAAGGATGAGCACATCCTGTTCACAGGTTCAGTCAATGCCTTCCTCACCCCCAGTTCCTAGCTTGGGATCTGACGCATAGTATATCTCAAGAAAATGAGTGTTGCTTGAAAAAAGAAATCAGAGGCTTGTTGAATGCCTGTTAACGTGGCTTCACAAAACCCCTCCTCTTCTCTCTGCCCCCCAAGCCTGAACCTAAGCAACAGCGACATCCTGACCATCTACGACGGTGATGAGGTCATGCCCCACATCTTGGGGCAGTACCTTGGAAACAGCGGACCCCAGAAGCTGTACTCGTCCACGCCGGACCTAACCATCCAGTTCCACTCAGACCCTGCCGGGCTCATCTTTGGGAAGGGCCAGGGATTCATCATGAACTACGTAGGTAAGTATTCTAGCCAGTCACTTTTTCTCCTTGGGTTTAGGTGCAAGTTAAGACAATTTCTTCTAGATTTGTCTTTTGGGGAGGGTTGTGCTACATGAGTTTTTTAATATATTGACACGGTAAATATACGTCGTTTTTTTTAAGAGGTTGGTCTCTCTAGCCGGAAGGACAAGGGTTCAAATCTTAGGATTATCATTGATGACTGGGTGACCTTGGGCAAGTCACTTAACCTCTCCGAGCCTCTTTTTTGTCATCTGTAAAATGGAAATAGTGATACCTCCTCCACAGGGTTGATATCAGGACTTAGGAGATAACATCTCATAACTTTAAGACTCATCATTTTTCATTTGCAGTCAGCTGTGACTTTATATCATCAACACACTCTTCCATATTTGCAACTTCTCAAAGCATTACCTATGCCATCTTGCCTGAACTGAAGCTTGGCTCTCCCCTAAGGACTCTTCTTCTCCTGCAGCCCCATCCAACCAAGACAGCCCTTTCTCTCCTACCTCCCATACTTTATTTTTTTTAATTTTTATTGGAGTATAGTTGATTTACAATGTTATATTAGTTTCAGGTGTACAGCAAAGTGAATTAGTTACACATATACATATATCCACTCTTTTTTAGATTCCTTTCCCATATAGGCCATTACAGAGTACTGAGTAAAATTCCCTGTGATATATAGTAGGTCCTTATTAGTTATCAAATTTATATATAGTAGTGTGTATATGTCAGTCCCAATCTCCAATTTATCCCTTCCCCGTTCCCCCCCCGGTAACCATAAGTTTGTTTTCTACATCTGTAACTCTATTGCTGTTTTGTAGATAAGTTCATTTGTACCCTTTTTTTAGATTCCACATATAAGCAACATCACGTGGTATATGTCTTTCTGTGTCTGACTTACTTCATTCCATATGACAGTCTCTAGGTCCATCCATGTTGCTGCAAATGGCATTATTTCATTCTTTTTTATGGCTGAGTAATATTCCATTGTATATAGGTGTACCACATCTTCTTTATCCATTCCTCTCTTGATGGACATTTAGGTTGCTTCCACATCTTGGCTGTTGTAAATAGTGCTGCTATTGGCGTTGGGGTGCGTGTATCTTTTCGAATTATGGTTTTCTCCAGGTATATGCCCAGTAGTGGTATTACTGGATCATATGATAGCTCTATTTTTCGTTTTTTAAGGAACCTCCATACTCTTCTCCCGTACTTTAGATTCTTTCTTGCTGCTCAATGTGTCTTCCAAACCTTTTCTCTTCCCATCATCTTTAAAAAAAATCCTGCTATAAAGTTCAAACTGAGTTCACACGTGAGCATCCAGTACCCGCTTCTTAATTATTTCATCCACCCACACCCTTCCCCCCTCCCTCCTCACCCTGAAACTCCCCCTTATTCATTCCTGGCTCCATCCCCCTCCTCTGCTCAAGCTCTAAACCTTGGAGGGTCCTATCCTGGACCCTGTCCTGCCTTCTATCTGTGTGCTGTCATCCAGGCCCATGGTTTTATCTGTATTCCATTGACCCCTAGTTTGTACCTACAGCCTTGACCTCTCCCATGAACTCCAGATCTCTCCAGCTCCCTGCTCACTGCGCTCTTGCATGTCCCACTGGCAGCTCAAGTTTAGCACGGACAGAACAGAGCGACCTCTTTGCCTCCCTGCCCTCACCACCTCTCACTGCTCCTGCTGGCTGCCCAGCCCAGGAGGCGGGACCACAACTCTCCTGGTTTCTCAGGCTGCTTCCCCTGTATCCAGTCCATCCTCTCAACTCTACTGCCACAATATATCTCAGATCCAAGTACTCTTCTCCATCTATCCACGTCCACCACCCTAGTCCAAGCTGCTGTCCTCGCCAGCAGCACTGTGAAGTCCCACTGATCCCAGCCCTGGAAGGGACTTGAACTTACAGAGTGTCTGGTCCAGGCCTGTCTCGTCACAGCACAAGAAGCCCTGGACCACCAAGGATGAGGGACTTGATCATCAGGGGCGGACCTGAGGCTCACACCCAGGCTTCCTGGCTCCCAGCTCTTAGGGTTCTCTACCCCCAATATTTTTGGCAATAGCAGAGAACCTGGGAGACGCAAAGAGGTAGAGAAGCCCTAACTTCTTTCGGCGTCCAGGATGGCGGGTGCTTGCCTCCTGGGGGTTTCAATGGGCAGGATTCAGCCAGCAGTTAGGGGACTTGTCTGCACCCCCCAGGGAAGAGGTGGACATCTTGATTTCCAAGATGGAACTGGGGAAAGGAGGACTGATCCTGCCAAGCCTCTCTGCCACCACCAAAGACCCTCTGGCTTGAGCACGATTCCGTGTCTTTGGTTCTTCCCCTTGGCTTGAAGATTTGCCCATCTCTAGCTAATACAAAGTGTTCTCTTTGTATCTCCTACTGCCTCCAGAATACAAGCTAGTTCCCTGACCATTGGCTGTCTCAAGGAGCCTCATGCATATGAAAATAAGTCCCTTGCTTTTTTTATTTCCAGCTGGTGGACACTTCCCATCCCCGCTCTGCTCTGCAGGTACCTCTCAGAGAAGCGATCACAAGTATTGATCTTTTATTTTTATGTTACTCAGGGGCCTTTTTACCCTTGATGGCGACACTGGGTATTTTCAGGGTGTTACTGCTGCCACTTTCCATGCGTTCTTTACTGGGTGATGCCCTGGGCAGAGGCTCTCTAGGCGACGTGCCCTCCAGAGTCAGCTGCCTTTGGAGGGAAAGTTTCTGGTGACTTGGCTTCAGTCTGTCTCCTTAGACCTTTCCTCCCCACCTCCCTCCCTACTGGAAGATGAGGTCATAGTTTTGCTCATTTGTCTCCTCTGGTGCCCGAGTCAGTCTTGCAAAACTGCATTCAGCTTGATGGAAGAAATATGACTCTATCCAAGGCTGCCCAAGGTTGACCAGAAAGCCTGGCCATTGTTCAGTTTGGCAATATTTTGAAGAGGAGGTGCTCTTGTTAATTGAAGTTGAAACTTAGATTTGTGTGACAATTTGCGGTTGGCAAGCACTCTTACATATATTATTTTATTTCATCTTCAAACGCATTATCTCCATTTTCCAGAGAATTTGGTTCACAAACTTTCATGCTAGGCCCTGTCCTAGGCATCAGGATACAGGAATGAATAGAATTCTCTCCCTGCCCTTGAGCCAGTTAGTGAAAATGGAAGAGTCCCATTAACAGACAATATCAGGATCATATGCTGATGAGCACAGGATTTCAGAGAGTGCTTCCCAGGGGTACACAGCCTGGCTAATATGGGTAACACAAAAAGAGAGAACAGCTCAACTTTTTTCTTATTTCTCTTAAAGAAACACAGGTTAATTTCACAGAAAAGGAAAGTGGGCCTTTGTATGTCAATGTTGATGTCAATCAATTGCACATGACTCCCTGGGTTGAAGACCATGTTGTTTTCAGAGGAGGCCATGCCTGAAGTCAGTGGAAAAGAATGCCATGATTGCTTAGTGATGTCTGTCATGGGCATGGGAGAGGTATTTGCTACCCTGGGTCTAGATTTAACAAGACACAGATGCAACTCCCATCCAGTAGAGGGATCAGATGGAAGGGTTAGGGGTTTCTGTTGTCATCTAGAGAATTCGTTTTTTCTTTTTTGGCTGCATTGGGTCTTCGTTGCTGCGTACGGGCTTTCTCTAGTTGCGGCAAGCGGGGGCTACTCTTTGTTGCAGTGTGCGGGCCTCTCACTGTGGTGGCTTCTCTTGTGCTGGAGCACGGGCTCTAGGCACACGGGCTTCAGTAGTTGTGGCTTGTGGGCTCTAGAGCGCAAGCTCAGTAGCTATGGCACACAGGCTTAATTGCTTTGAGGCACGTGGGATCTTCCTGGACCCGGGCTCAAACCCGTGTCCCCTGCATTGGCAGGTGGATTCTTAACCACGGCGCCACCAGGGAAGCCCCTCATCTAGAGAATACTAAAGCTCCTACACTGATCTCAAGGCCTGACCCCAGCTCTGGAAAGTGGCCGAGGCTTATCTGCTCTGGCTGCTGTCAGAACCTTCCATAGGAACACTGGGCTTACATGGTTCTGACTTCCCATAATTCTCCTTTGCACAGACAGAAGCAAAGACCCATTCTTCTCACTGCTTCTTATGTTTTGCTGTTGTCTGTGGTCAAGTGCATGGGAGGGAAGGGAATTAAAAAGCAGAGATAAGTAAACAGTGTTTTTCAAAGAGATATTGGTCGCTTGTATATTTATTCCTCTAATCCCAGGATAATAAAAAGTTCCATATTGTAGGTCAACTCCAATCAAATGACAGTGGCTCCCTGGAATGTTGTGTTGAGAAGGATTGGGAGGTTTCAGCTTGATTCAAAGAAAGAGATTGCTATGGTTGATTAGTGATGTCTGCCATGAGCATAAGACTGGGAAGTGGTGGTATGTATTCAGTACATTTAGGTATTTCTTTTGCCCAGAAGTTGGACCATGGTGCTGATCTTTACTGTGAGCATGGAACCATGACTTCAGATCTCTATATTCCTGGTGCCTGGCACATAGTAGGCACTCACATCTTAGTCAAACAAATCAGTGAATCCATATAACTTGTCTTAGTGTTATTTTTATATCCTGCACATTAATTAGTTTTCATCTTGCCTCTAGGGATAGACAGGGCCATGATTCTTGTCTCCATTCTCTGATTGAGGACAGTGAGGCTCAGAGACGTTTATTGACATGACTGGAGTCACACAGCTTCTAAAATAAAGAAAGAAGATTAGAAGGGAAGTTCTCTGACTCCTGGGCCAGTTTTCTCATTCTAAGCAAAGTTAACAAAGGTTCATAGGAATAGATAATTCCAGAAGCTCTGCCTAGGGTGTTTGGTGAACATGCAGACTCCTGAATCAGGGTCTCTGGGGGTAGAGTCTGGGAACTGAAGAACAGAAGGTTAAGTGACTTAGCCAAAACCACCCAGTTAGTAGACAGTGGGGCCAAGGTTTGAATCAAGGCTCTGCTGCACGGTGGCAGCCACTGAGAATGACAAATGTGATGAATGCTACGGAGGAGATGGGAGGGCCCATGGAAATGTATAGCCGTGCCGGCTCATCTTGAAAAGTCAGACAAGCAAACCTTCTCAGTCCCAAAGCATTTGGTACAAGGCAGACCACATATCAAGTATTTGCCCCCATTTCTCCTCTTTCATCCAGAGTTTGAACATTTGCAGCTGTGTCCCAAATCCAGGGCTTGGCTGATTTTTCAAAGGCCTAAAAATAGAGGCTCCTGTCCCCCACCAAGCAATTCTAGAAGCCATTTCCCGCTCCCCTTCTTCTTGCAGACACCCAGGAGATCTCCTTCCCCCAAATAAAATCATGATGAAATCCCTGGAAAAGCCATTGCTTGTTTCTCAGAATGACTTTCCTGCAGACAATGGAGGTACTTTGCTTTCCCCAGAAGCACATTAGAACCGCAAATTAATTATATGGCATAATTAGCCCTCTTCTCAGACTCTGCACAGTGGGCACTTGGAAGCGAGAGTGATAATAGTGGGCTTTGGATTGCTACCTTAGGGACAAAGGTTTGCAGGAGGAGAACAGAATTATTCCAGAGGAAGATTCTGTGACAATAAGCTGTGTGTAGATTTTCCGGAGTGTGGTTAATGTTCACTGATGGTAGGCAATGTGATTTGAAGAATGCAGCCAATAATTATTTCTGTCTTAATAGTTACGTGTTTATCTTAGTCTGCATTACAAAAATGTATATGCCTAATCTATCAAACCCATAGATTTATGGACATTCTTAGGATAAGGCTGAGTATAGTAGCAACCTATTGCTACATAACAGATGACGCCCCGCAAAATTAGCAATAAACGTGTACCATCTCACAGTTTCTGTGAGTCAGGAATTCAGGAGTTAATACTGGGCGGTCCTGATTTGGGGCCTGTCATGAGGTTATAGTCAAGATATCAGCTGGGGCTGCAGTCCTCTGATGGCTTGGCTGGAGGTTCCACATCCAAAATGAAAAGAAATCATTGTAAAGTCCCCCTAGGGAAGAGTTCTTGCAGGTTAAGGGATTTCAGAAGTTGTGTTGCTTACTTCTGGGGGCTTTTTCTTCTATTTTCTCTTTCCTCTGACATTCATAAAAGGAACCCTCAACAACAAGGCCACCTCCCCATCTAAGGATGATGTTTTTGTTTTAAAGAGGTGTCAAGGAACGACTCCTGCTCAGATTTGCCCGAGATCCAGAATGGTTGGAAAACCACTTCTCACACGGAGCTCGTGAGGGGAGCCAGAATCACCTACCAGTGTGACCCCGGCTATGACATCGTGGGGAGCGACACCCTCACCTGCCAGTGGGACCTCAGCTGGAGCAGCGATCCCCCATTTTGTGAGAAAAGTAAGAGTAGTCTTGTTGTTTTCCTCTAGGTCATTGGATGGAAAATCCCTGCCATGGAGTATTTTTTGCATGGATGCAGAGGAGCTATTCAGTGTAGAATCTGGCCTCTCTCCTACTCCACCAACACACTGGTGCTGTTCACCAATGTCATTTTGTAGCCCAAGGGCAAGGATCTCAGACTCAGGTGGTTTCAAAAGCCTGGCAGATAATGGAAATAAGTAAAGCAGGCTGGGTGTGAGACATTAGGGAATGGTGTGGACTGTGGTCAGCAGGAATATATGTAGCCTGTGTAAAAACATCATTCAAATTCAAGTCGTTAAAATACCTGCAGAAGCCAAGCAAAACAAACCTAAGTTGGCCCTAGGGCCCCAGTTCAAAACCCCTATGGTAGGTAGCCAACTTTTTTTTTTTTTAAGGCACATGTTATTTTCTCAACAGTTCCAAAATGGAAATAGTTTGATCGATGATAATTTTTTAAAAGAAGTAGCTTGAATTTTCTGGCAATGCCTTAGTGAAGGTGTCTAGAGAAACAAGAAAACTTCTCCTTGTTTCTAAACCTTCAGTGGTCTTTCTCTTGCATTGACATTGAAGTAGACACTGGTAGGTAGCTGCCTTTATCCAGACAGCATCCAGCCCAGTCTCCTGGTTCCTTCTGCCTGCTCCCCGAAGTGCTGGCCTGAGTGCAGGCCAAGTGTGTCTAGTGGTAGCTGAGTTTAGCGTCTTGAGGAGGGGTAGCGACAGGAAGTGCCTCTAATGGTTTCTACCCTGATGTCTTAGTATCGGGGTGGGGGGAGCTAAATTTGGCCTCTCCCCTCATCCATTTGCTTCCCACCTCCTACATAAAGCTCTAGTCCGCAACCTTCTTCCTGGGAATCCTTGGATCCTTGATGATACTTTGGTAGATCTGTTCAGCATGACTTAAATCACCAATTGCCCAAGAAGAAATATTAAGTGCAGCAGAGAAAGAGGCTGTCAGGGAAGGAGAGCATGGGGGGGCTACATACAATTCCCGTCACAAACATTCCAACATCAAGGAAAATTATAACGGTGGGAAACATGAAAGAACTCGCTGAAGATCCCTAAAACTGGCTACACAGACACATCGATTTGTTCTGCAACAGAATGTGGGGTGTGTGCATGTGTGTGGATTGTGATAGAAAATAAAAAGGGACCGTGAGCTGTGCAGTTAGGAGAGATCCGTCACGAGTCCACCAGTGCGATCTGCATCATCGTTATTATTCTTTAAACATTTTTAAAGGCTTGGAGGGGACATAACTAGCTCTCTATGGGGGATCCCCTCCCATGCCTCAATTTTTGCCAAGAAAAGGCCCAAAGTAGAGCAGATAAATGTGTACTGGGCCTGTTGTGTGCCTGCATGTTTATGTTCCCAGGCTGGGTGCCACGCTCACTCTGCGTTCAAGACACAGACCCACCGAAGCGCTTCTCTTCTAGTGAAATGAGAGCAGAAGAACCTCCCAGAACAATGGGGTCCCACCTAGAAGTCCCTGGATGTTATAGCCACCTTTCACTGGTTAAGCTCCACTCTTGACAGTAAAAGATGTAAATATACAACTATATCTTAACGTTGTGCCGGTAACAGACACGGTAATCAAGCGGCGGCAAAATAATGAGGTAGACAGTGAAAACCCCTTATGACCTGCTCTCAGGAGTTTATTCTGTTTTATTCCAATTGCATATGTTTGTATGTGTCTGTTACACACGTACGTAAATGTGTGTGTGTGTGTATTGTCGAGATATATATGGCTACACATACAGACATAGCTGCAGAGACAGATACTTTACCATAATAGGCATCAATTGCTAGAAACTGCCTTGCAACAGCTTTTTTCTTCAACTCAGAAATAGACATCTTTTCATATCACACATGTGATCTACTTCATTCCTTTTTATTTTTATTTTTGCAGCACAATGAGAAATAGGTTTTATTTAGTCTTAAGATGTTTCCTTTCTGCATAAATATTAACAATAGTGTATCATGAGTCACAGTGTAAAATTTACATGACCGTTGTCAATTTAAAACCCAGTTTCTCTCTTTTCCATACTTCATTCCTTTTTAATTGGTTTATTATTTTCCTTTTATCTATATTGACTTTTTAACTTAAAAGTAATGGACACTTAGGACTTCCCTGGCCGTCCGGTGGTTAGTACTCCGCGCTTTCACTGCCCTGGGCCCGGGATTCGATCCCTGGTCGGGGAACTAAGATCCCACAAGCGACACGGTGAGACCAAATAAATGAATGAGTGAACGAATGAAAGAATGTAATGGATGCTTATTTTCCTGTAGTTAAGTACTACAAAGAAAGCAGTGAGAAAGAGCTCTTTGTTCTCATTAGTGGTTGGTCAGGATTTCATGGAATGGTTGCCGCATGATATTTAACTCCTCTTATGTTAAAGGATTGCTTTTTAACCATTACAAATATAATATTATTATGTGCAGTGTGCAGTCTTGTATATGGGTCTTTGGGCCCTGATGCAAACATTTCTTTGGGCAAATTCCTAAAAGTGAAATTAAATTCAAGTCTCTTTTGTCCTGGCCTGTTTTCCAGCCGCATGCAGTGTCTTTCAGACAGGGAAAGAACTAAGTGAGGAAATGTTCTAGATCATTCTGTAGTTCTCGGCAAACCAGTGGTCATCAGGCCCTAACACCCACCTGGTTTGGTTTCATCTCGTGTAGTTATGTACTGCACCGATCCCGGGGAAGTAGACCACTCGACCCGCTTGATTTCGGACCCCGTGCTGCTGGTGGGCACCACCATCCAGTACACCTGCAACACGGGCTTCGTGCTGGAAGGGAGCTCCCTCCTGACCTGCTACAGCCGTGAAACCGGCACGCCCATCTGGACCTCTCGCCTGCCCCACTGTGTTTGTGAGTCCTCGTTATTGGCTTGAGCCTCCGGGATGCATCTGGGGGTTGGCTTCTTCTTATTCCCGGTGGAGGGCTGGGCTGCTAGGAGGCGGTACCCACTCTTGGGAGCGTTTATTATCACTGTCCCCCAACAATAGCTACCAGGGATTGAGGGCATGGCTACTCTAACACTTATGGTAAGTTTATCAGGCACTGTGCTGAGTCCTTTACCAGATTTCCCTCTCTTCTTCCCTGGGTAGCTTCGTGAGGATGGCAGTACTGTCTCCATCTTCCGAAGAGGGTATTAAGGTTCAAAGAGGCAAAATCATTGCCCCAGGTCACACAGCTCGTTAGTTAAGAAGAAGGCCAGAGGCACACCCAGGCCTGCGTGACTCTAAGTGATTAAAATGGAGCCGTCCGAAGGGCAGTAAATAGAGTGATTCAGACTCTCTTTGACCTCCTCTGTGGGGCCATCAAAGCAAACGTTCGGTTAAAAAAACACTTTGGGGGGTTCTCTACCATAAAAACTCAAAAAAAGTCTTCCAAGGTCACTCTGAGAATGGAAGAGGAACTGCATATTCTCACCAGGCAGAGGAGGTGGAGAGCAGGGGTCTTGGGGGGGGGGGGGGGGGTCTCAGCCTCGATGGCACATGGGAATCATCTAGGATGTTTTAAAACGCCCTGGAGATTCGGATGGTCTGGGGTGTAGCGTGAGTTTCAAAAGCTCCCCGAGGTTTCTGATGTGCTGACAGGGATCGGACCCATTGCTTAAGAAAAGCTTGAGGCTCTGCAGAAGGAACAAAGCCTCACACGATACCTGGGGTTTAGAGATGTCAGCTGCACTGCTGTTTTATGAGTGTGTTTTGAAGAGATCCATTAAGGGCACAGACAGCCCAAGCTCCCAGAGCTACACTGAGGTCTCGATAGTGCTGGGGAATCAGACTTTAAACAACAACAAAAGAATAGATGTTTATTGTATGTTTATGTTTATTGTAAACTACATCTTATGTGATGAACAGAGTGTAACTTAAGGACGTGGCTCTCTCTTGAAATAGCTGTGTTTTGTCACTTCTCACAAGTATCAAAACAGGCTTTGTGGAGTTTTTTCATGGCCACAAACAAGCAGCCCTGCCATTTAGATGGATACAAGCATTCACGGTTTGGAAGACAAGTGGAAAGCAAGAAAATCCTTGTCCTTTTCCATTGGATAAACAGATACAGGCAGACCTCAGAGATACTGTGGGTTCAGTTCCAGACCAACATAATAAAAGAAAATATTGCAATAAAGCAAAATTTTGGGTTTCCCAGTGTATATAAAAGTTACGTTTAGCCTATACTGTAATCTATTAAGTGTGCTATAGCATTACGCCTAAAAAAAAAAAAAAAAAAAGTATGTACCTTAATTTTAAAAGACTTTATTGCAAAAAAAAATGCTAACCCTCATCTGACCACGCAGGGTTGCCACAAACCTTCAATTTGTAAAAAAAAAAACCACACACAGTATCTGTGAAGCTCAGTGAAGCAACGTGCAATAGAACAAGGTGTGCCTGTACTTACTGAGCACTTATTGTATGCCAGGCACCGTTCTGAGCAGTCACATGCATTCATTCACATTCACATAATTAGTTAATAACAGAGATGTTTGTTGCTTCTGATAAAGAACAGAGCATGGTCAAATTCAGACTCTGGGGAGACCTTCCTCTCTTTCTATTCATGAGGCAGCCAAGGCCAGGGTCCCCTGTGGTAGTCCGTGAATTCAGCTTTCTCAGCCCACAAAAGGCATTTATCACACAGACCCAAATAAATGAAAAATTTAAGTGCACGTCATCTACTTCATAGATTTTCCTTAATTGACATCTGATTCCTTTATTAGAGGAAGATTTATGTTTCTGGGTTCCCATTTTCTCTTCTCAAAAAGGGGGAAGGCGTGGTAAGAACACAACATGAAATGGACCCTTTTAGCAAATCTTTAAGGGTATAATAGAGTATCGTTAACTCGAAGGCATGGTGTTGTACAGCAGATCTTTAGAAGTTGCATAATGGGAACTTTATGCCTGTTGATAAGCAATTTCCCCATTTCCCCTTCCTCCAGCCCCAGGCAGCCACCATTTCACTCTCTGGTTCTATGAATTTGACCTTTTTTTAAAAGATTTTTTTATTGAAGCATAGTTAATTTCCAATGTTGAGTTAATTACTGCTCTACAGCAAAGTGATTCAGTTATACATATATATACAGTCTTTTTTTTTATACTCTTTTCCATTATGGTTTTTCATAGGCTATTGAACATGGTTCTCTGTGCCATCCAGTAGGACCTTGCTGCTTATCCACTCCATATATAAAAGCCTACATCTGCTGACGCCAGCCTCCCACCCCATCCCTCCCCCAGCCCCCTTGACAACCACCAGTCTGTTCTCTATGTCCATGAGTCTGTTTCTGTTTCCCAGAGAGGTTCATTTGTGTCATATTTTAGATTCCACGTATACATGATATCGTATGGTATTTGTCTTTCTCTTTCTGACTTACTTCACTTTGCATGATAATGTCTAGTTGCATCTATGTTGGCCCAAATGGCATTATTTTATTCTGTTTTATGGCTGAGTAGTATTCCGTTGTATATATGTACCACATCTTCTTTATCCATTTATCTGTCGATGGACATTTAGGTTGTTTCCATGTCTTGGTTGTTGTGAATAGTGCTGCTATGAACATAAGGGCACATATATCTTTTTGTATTATAGTTTTGTCCAGATATATGCCCAGGAGTGGCATTGCTGGATCATATAGTAAGAATTTGACTATTTTTTAAAATAAATTTCCATTTTTAAAAAAATATTTATTTAGGCTGCGCTGGTTCTTAGTTGTGGCACACAGGATCTTTGTTGCAGCATGTGGGCTCTTAGTTGTTTCATGTGGGCTCTTAGTTGCGGCATACAGACTTCTTAGTTGTGGCACACGAACTCTTAGTTGTGGCATGCAGACTCTTAGTTACGGCCTGTGGACTTCTTAATTGCGGCATGTGGATTCTTAGTTGAGGCATGCGGACCTTTAGTTGCAGCATGCATGTGGGCTCTAGTTCCCTGACCAGGGATTGAACCCAGGCCCCTGCATTGGGAGCGTGGAGTCTTACCCACTAGACCACCAGGGAAGTCCCTGAATTTGACTATTTTAGATGCATCCTATGAGTAGAACCAGAGAGTATTTGTCCTTTTGTGACTGGCTTATTTCACTCAGCATAATGTCCTCAAGGTCCATCCATGTTGTCACGTATGGCAGAATTTCCTTCTTTTTCAAAGCTGAACGATATTCCATTGTATGTATATACCACGTTTGCTGTATCCATTCATCCATCAGTGATGTTTGTTTCCACATCTTGGCTAGTGGAAGTAGTGCTGCAATGAACACAGCGGTGCTAAAATCTCTTTAAGATCCTGATTTCACTTATTTTGGGTAAATACCCAGAAGAGGGATTGCTGGATCATAATGCTTGTTCTATCTTTAATTGTTTGAGGAACCTTCACACAGTTTTCCATAGTGGCTGTACCATTTTGCATTCCCACCAAGGGTTCCCTCTTCTTCATGCCCTCACTAACTCTTGCTGTCTTTTGTTTCTTTGATAATAGCCATCCTACCATGTGTGAGGTGATATCTTATTGTAGTTTTGATTAGCATTTCCCCGATGACCATAACGTTGAGCATCTTTCGTGTACATGTTGGCCATTTGTATATCTTCTTTGGAGAAATGTCTGTTCGTGTTCTTTGCCCTTTATTTTTTTTTTTGCTGTACGCGGGCCTCTCAGTGTTGTGGCCTCTCCCGTTGTGGAGCACAGGCTCCGGACGTGCAGGCTCAGCAGCCTTGGCTCATGGGCCCAGCCACTCCGCGGCATGTGGGATCTTCCCGGACCAGGGCACGAACCCGTGTCCCCTGCATCGGCAGGCAGACTCTCAACCACTGTGCCACCAGGGAAGGCCCCTTTGCCCATTTTTTAATTGGGTTATTTGTTTGTCAACTATTGAGTTGTAGGAGTTCCTTACGTATTTTGGAAATTAACCCCTTATCAGATACATGGTTTGCAAATATGTTCTCTCATTCAGTACACTGAAGATTTTTCTGATTGTTTTCTTTGAAATTGGACCCTTATCTGACACCATACACAAAAATCAACTCAAAATGGTTAAAGACTTAAATGTAAGACCTGAAACTGTAAAAATTCTAGAAGAAAACATAGGGGAAAAGCTCCTTGACATTGGTCTTGGCAATGATTTCACAGATATGACACCAAAGGCACAGGCAACAAAAGCAAATATAGACAAGTGGGAATTCATCACAATAAAAAGCTCCGCACAGGGCTTCCCTGGTGGCGCAGTGGTTGAGAGTCCGCCTGCCGATGCAGGGGACACGGGTTCGTGCCCTGGTCCAGGAAGATCCCACATGCCGCGGGGCAGCCGGGCCCGTGAGCCATGGCCGCTGAGCCTGTGCGTCTGGAGCCTGTGCTCCGCAACGGGAGAGGCCACAACAGTGAGAGGCCCACGTACCTCACACACACACACAAAAAAGCTCTGCACAGAAAAGGAGAGACTTTATTATTCCGTTTGCACAAGTAACAGGGAATCTTGGACCACACAACCCTGTGTTCCCATCTGCCTTATTCCTAGAATTTCAGAGCTGAAGGGAATCTGGGAGATAAAATGCAATTGAGGATGACCTTGAGATAAAACACAGCTGCCCTCATTTTACAGATAATAAAAATAGTTGTTATCTATCGACTGTGTAAGACATTTTGCTAAGCATGTTATATGTATTTGTGAACATATATGTATATATGTGTACAGTATGTGTGTATATACACGCACGTATACATTAAGGAAACTAAAGCTCAGAAGAAAATACAGATAACAGTAGTTATGTGTAAAATACATTGCTAACTAAATTATATATATATGTATTTTTGTGAATGTATATCTGTGCACACACACATATATAAATGCGTGTGTGGAGGGGGGTATGTAAAGGAAATTGATT